TTGGAATTATTATTATTATTATTATTATTATTATTATTGTTGTTGTTGTTGTTGTAACACCCCGTTTATTTAATAAATAAATAAATGAATTAATGAACGTTTAGTAGCCTTAAAATCAATGATTATATTGCAAGGTGTTGGTTTCAAGGAGCTAGATGTCACAATTTTAAAGATTGGGGGTTAAAAGTGTTAACATAGCTGAAGTTTGATCATTGGACTTAAATTGAGAAGAATTTAGAATGCCGAGGGCTAAAGAGTAAATTCCGGACTTAATTTGGAAGTAATATTGAAGACATGGGCTGCTTGGTAACAATTAGGACTCAATATGAAAGGGAATTATGGAATCGGGGACAAAAGGATAAATATTAGATTTAATTTGAAAAGATCCCATGGGGAGGGACCAAAATTGTAATTATGGAAAAGTTATGTAATGGACCTGGTATATATGCTTTGCGTAACCCTAACCCCAACTTGCTGCTTCAGCCGCCGGGTATCACCCTTTCAGCCGTCACCGCCCGTTTATGTTCACCCATGGCTGCCAAACGACCGTCGATTCCTGCCAACGTCGCTGCCGCCAATGGAAGCTGTCGACTATCCAGTTCCGCCATGACTTCCGTCGCCGGCATGGGACACGATCAACCAGCCGCCTGTCGCTGCAGTTGCTGCCGCGCGGAGACGCGTCTTTCGCCGGACGCCGCGACCTGCTTGTCGGAGAAGTGAGCTGGGGAGGAGCCGCTGTCTTGGTCGAAGTCCGCTGCCACCATTCTTCTTATTCTCTTCCTCCGCTAGCCACTGCTTGATGCTGAATCGCCACTGAAGCACCGTCGCTGTTGCCGCCTGTGTTGCTGCTGCCGTCGCCGCCCACCTCAGGTGGGTGTTGGGTTCTCTTTACGAGCAAGGGCTGTGGGTTTGTGTGGTTGCTTGGTTGGAAACCAAAAGAAATCATGCCATCTCAGATTCGCTGTTGCCGCCGTCGGGAGCCACCAGGTGGGTGGCTGGTGTGTGAACTACTCTTCAAAATGTGTGTTGCGTGTGTTTGTCAAGCCGGAAAGCCGAGGACCGCCACTGCCACCACCGTGAGGTGGTGGCTGCCGCCACGTGCCACCGTCGGCCACCACGACGGTGGTTGCGGGTGTGTGTTTATTTAGTATAGTGTGTGTGTTTATTTCGTGAGTTCATTGTAAATTGTAAAAATTGAAATAATGAAAGGAAAATCAAACCACCACCGTAGGGTGGTGGCTGCCGCCTCCTGCCGCCACTGGCCGCCGTGTCAGGTGGCGGTGTGCTTGCCTTGTTGAGTTTGAATCGCTTGGGGTGCTTGAAACCCTAATGGGCCCAGTGAAACCGTAATGGGCCCAATGAAGCCCTATTGGACCTAAAAGCCCAAACATGAGACTTATGGGCCTAGTGAAAACCCTAATGGGTCTAATGGACCCTAATTGACCTAAGGAAAACCCTAATGGGCTTAAGGACTTAGTTATTTGGCCTATTGGGCTAATATGGGTTGGAAACCCTAATTAGGGTTTGGAAACCCCTAATGCAATGAAACCCTAATTTGGGGAATTACTCGGCACACGGGAATTATTTGATAACTTGAAATATTAAATAATAATCACTGGCAAAAATTAATCTAAGCAATATTGAACTTAATGGATTAAGTCCTTAATGGGCTAAGTAGGAACATTTAACCTTAATCATCATTTCATGTAAGAAACCTTAATTTTTAATTGGGCCTTGAGTTGGGCATTTTTTATTGGGCTTTGGTAATTGGGTTATTAATGGGCTTTAGGGTAAGGCCCATATGAGGGTTTGGGCCCAATTTGGAAAATTGGGCCGTAGATGGACCATAGTTTGGGCCCTAATGATTATATGATATTGGGCCATTGGAAATGCCAAATGTTTGGACTGGACTAAGTAGTTGGGCCTTTAATTATGACCATGTAAAGGTTTGGGCCCAATTTGGAAAATTAGGCCATATGTTGGGCTTTGGACCATTACTTGGCTTTTGGGCCTTTGGAGTGTGATTTGGACCTTGGGCTTGGAACTCAATTATTAATTGGGTATTGTTGATGTTGACAGTTCGGGAGCCTGTTAACCAGCAACTAGAGTTTCATCCGCGGGACTTCAGCAGTGCCAGGTGAGTCTCCTCACCATACCAATGGGTCTAAGGCACCAAGGCCGGCCCATTTTATGATATGTGGTCCACTAGTTGATGTAGTGCTTTTTTGTTTATGTGATATTTGCATGAAAGACCATGGGGGGAGCCCATGGCACTTGGATGTAAGACCATGTGGGGGAGCCCATGTCTTTTCAGGTAAATACCATAGGGGGAGCCCATGGCACATGGATGTAAGACCATGTGGGGGAGCCCATGGCTTTCCTATTAAAGACCATGGGGGAGCCCATGACACTTAGGTGTAAGACCATGGGGGGAGCCCATGTCATCCTGGAGTAAGACCTTGGGGGGAGCCCACGGCATCCGTATATGTTTATATGCATGACTATGTGATTGATATGGATATGTGTTTGATATAGCTATCTGATTAATATGGTTTATGTAGCTGTTATAGCTAATGTGGATTATATGGTTATGTGGATTGTGTGGGGTATGATCTGGGGAACTCACTAAGCTTTGTGCTTACGGTTTACAGTTTTGGTTTCAGGTATCATCGATTTGGAAAAGGAGGGCTCGGATTGATCGCAGTGCACACACCTATGATTCCGAAATGAATGATTTTGGGGCGAACTCTGATGAATGTTTTACTTAATGAGGATTTGACATGTTTGAAATAAATGGTATCAATGTTTTAGCTATAATAAAAATGAAATATTTACCTCTGATTTTCGGGTCGTTACAATTGTTATTATTATTATTATTATTATTATTATTATTATTATTATTATTATGAATGTATACATATAATTTTAAATATAAAAATGTTTTTTTTTTGTAAAGCATAACAAATGCGTTTTTAAATAAATAAATATTTTTAAAAGTATTTATATATTTATCGTATTTATCATTAATAGAGGGCATAAAAACGTTTTTTATGTATGAAAATGATAAGCGTTTTTAAATCAATAAATATATTTTAAAAGTATTTTTAATTATATAAATTCAAATAAAAAAAAATTAATGTATAAATAAGTTTTTATAATATGTATTTATACATTTTCTTATATATATATATATATATATATATATATATATATATATATATATATATATATATATAATCTTATTTATTTGTTTAAATATATACATACGATTTTCAATATCATTATATACATTTATAGTCGATTTAGAATAATGTGTTTAACTTGGCTTAGTGGTAAGGCGTTTATTTTTGGAATTAGAGGTATTGTGTTTGATTCTTCCAGCAAATTTAATCTATTTATATTTAATTTTGTTGTTGTATAGAGGTTATATGATTGTATTCAGACATGTATACATAAAATTGTCCCCAGTGAGATGGAAAACCTAAGTAATAATAATAAAAGTGATAATAATAATAAAATAATAATAGTAATATAATAATAATAATATAAGTTACACATTATATTCAAATGTGGAGGACAAGTTACACAAAATGAGTTGCAGCCTAGTGGAAAGTGGCTTGGGTCGGACGTCTGGAGTTCGAATCCAATTTCCTTCATCTTCTATTTATTTGTTTTAAATAAGCAAAGGCGGTGGCAACGCCTAGTAAGCACCATGTCAGCCAAACGATGCATATCACCGCCACAGTGGAGTGCCTTATGTGCAGGCAACCGGTTACAAGTTACAACCCTGGTAACCGGCTAATTGGACAGAAATGTAAATATTTATGCAAACTTTGGGCTTTACTGAACCTAAAACTCGTCTAAGGTTAAAACCAAATATTTCTTGAGGTTTATATGGAGATTTCCCATAAGACAATGATTCTTCGGTTTACATGATTCATATATTAGTATGAAGAAGTTTTTTTGGTTGGTAAAAATATCAAGTTTTTGTTTGCCTTGAATTTTAAGTATTGTCAATTATTAATCAATGATGGTTTTGTTGGAAATTTCTCATAAGACAATGATTCTTCAGTTTACATTATCCATATGTTAGTATGAAGAAGTTTTTTTGGTTGGTAAAATATCAGGTTTTTGTTTGCCTTGAATTTTAAGTATTGTCAATTATCATCTCTAATAAGTGAATGTTTTTTTTTGCCACTTGTCAAATTCTCAAGAGTTTTGTCACATGTAATTTTGTGGGAGTTTTAGAATTATTATTTTCCACTTGTCATTTTTTGGGAATTTCCATTTTTTAAAATAAAATTCCACAAAATTCTAACGAGTTTTATAAAAGGAAAGAGAATCATTCTATTAATTTGATAATAAAGTCTCATAAATCCTTAAAAAATATTTGATTTCTTTTATAAATGTTCCAAAAGATTACATTATGTTATGTAAAAGTGTTATTTTATAAAATATTTAATGTTTAAATATTGATATTTAAATTTTTATTTTTAATAAACCCGTGTAGTACACGGGTCTCACACCTAGTTAATCAATGATTCTGAAAAGGTTTTATATGATAGAATACGGTAGTATGAATGCGTTTTGTTTTTTTTTTTTTTTTTTTTTTGTAATCAGATTTAGGACTTGGGTAAAATAATGATCCTCAAGATTTTTGTATGTCTTGTATTCTAAGTATTGTTAAATAGTATTATAATTATTCTTAAAAAGAATATTTGGAATGAAAACTAAGATTTAGTTTGAATAGGTAAACACCTTTTACCATGAGATATTACGTGCATCAAATAGAAAGAAAAATATAATTTGTAATAAGGACATAATTTACCATAGAAATTGGTGTGGATGAAAGACAATTTACCATAGAAATTGGTGTGCATTGATGTAATGATGAAACACATTTCACCATAGGAATTGGTGTGTATTGATGTACAATATAGTATTTTAAGTTGTCATTGAAGCCTGATATGTTGATAATCATATTAACAATAAAATGCAAATAAATAAAAAGTTATGAATTTATTAAGTAAACTATTATTCGAAAAAAAGTGGTAAATGTTGAAATCCAAACTAAAATGTTGTAAATGTCTACGAAGATAATAAAGTAAGAAACAATGAAATTAAAATAGTCAAACAACAGCTTTGTGCTTGCAAGGTCTCGTTTTGGCAAAGTTTGTCTCCTCATCTTCCTTCCTAACGGGACAGTTTCTCTAATCGCGACGTGGACCACTGCGGTACTTACAAGATCTTGGTTCATTAGATGACTTTTTCTTTGAAACCTCATTTGAACCTTTCAGTATTTTTCGAAGTCCACTTCCTTTGTTCCTAATTGGGCCATGATTTTCAATATTAACTTCTGTCGGGGTTGTCACACCTAGCAACTGCTCAAACTCCTTAACCAAAAAAAAGCATATATAATTAACAAACAAACAATATAATATCAACATGTTTTATCCATTATAGCAACATACAAAAAAGATTATTCAATAAAAGTAATCAATGCATCTAGAGGTCAAGACTTTTGTTACAGTAGGCTTACTTACTTGCAGTAAGATGTTCATAGCAGAAGACAACCACCTCCTGCAATATTAAAATAAGCAGAATAATGAATTTTACCAATCTGTTTTGCGTAAACATGTGAGGTACTACAATTGTTAATAGTTGTAAGTTGCATAAAGTGTTAAATTAGTTTTGCATGTGACGTAATTAAAATAGTAATTAAAATAGGATGAACAGTTGACAAACCTGATGAATATCACACACACATGATTACTTTTTCAATGGCTTTTGCTTAAGTGCTTCTCTAGCAGTAGACACTTCACCAGCTCCCATTATGAACATCATTTTTGGGCTGTGTAAATACATTATTATAAAAAATATCACCATGAGATTGCCAAATCCACTTTAGTATAGAAATTAAAATTTTGCATCTACTTTTACAATATGCTATATAGCTAGATAACATGCATATTTTTTTCTAAATATAAATGTATATCTAACTTTGCAGATTTCTTAATTATGTACAGATGATATTATTGCATCTACTTCACCACATTCCATTACAAAGTGCTTTGTATCCATGAGAACTATGGTTTGATACTTGCTTATTAGTTATCACTTTTTGTAACAGCAGCAACACACTTTTAAGATAGATAAAAATATAAAATTACTTACGAGTACATGACAACTGCACAATTTGGCCTCAAATTTCATGTGTAAATCAAACACCATCGGCATTCTGCAACAATCATATTGGACAGTTTGGCAACTATCATTTACACTGTATAAATCATGAAGAAGCATAATATTTAATATCCATTCAACCAATATGTTTTGCAACCGTTAAACCTATCAAAAGCATAAACATGGTAAATTACCAGTCCAACTAGGTTCTACGAAAAAAAAAAAAAACAAAGTATATATATATCAACTAACCTGGACTAGAGAGTGTTCAAAGAAATTGGGAGTTTCCTATTTCAATCCCAATTCGTGAATACAAAATCAGGTTAGGGTTTCAAAATCGTGAGAGAGAGAGAGAGATTGAAATGGTGTGTTTCATTGGAATATGGTTCATGAGATGCGACGGGATGATGATGATTACAACAGGGGGTCCATGATGAACAAAAAGAGGGAGTCGAAGATGAACGTTGTTACTGAGATGCGAAGGAATTATGACGAATTATGTAGGGGTCATTTTTGGTATATGGCAATAACTATGCCGACATGAGAGATCGAGGAATGACGAAGGTAAGTTCCCAAGTCGCCCAATTCCAAACCCTAGACGACGGTTGGAGCTTGGGTCTGTGGGATTTGGGGGGTTTTTTTGACACCTCCAGGCGGGAGTTGGAAGAAGTGGGAGGCGGGCGTGCAATGGAAATCTAAAACCTAGCAAATTTTTTGGGGGAAAAGGGACTAAATCTAAATTTTGGAGCGAGATGAAATTTTGAAGTTCCGTCGGAATGTCGTAGGAAACTACCAACAAATTTCCGACAAAATTTTAGAAAAAAATTATATAAAACAATAAGTAAAAAAGAAAACCAATATAATAGATATGAGGAATAAAAAAAACGTAAATCAACAACTTTTTATATAAAAAACTATTAATTAAATTACAATTATAAATATAAATGACAATTAATCATGCAAATGGAATTTATATATGTTGATGAATATGCGCCATCTAGAAGTGGATGTGCCATGGAGGTCGCCACTCCATGATCAAGGTATGCCACATGTCTTCCTTTGATGAGCAATGATATCCCTTTATGAGCCACTCTTGGATGATGCTCATAGAAGATGCTCATGGATGATGCTCATGGATGATGTTCGTTGATGATGCTCATGGAAGATGGTTATGGAAGATGATCATCAACGATGCTCATGTGTAACGTCCCAAAAATAATAAGTAAAAATTTCATTTTAAATAAATCAATTGTAACGCCCAGTTTCTGGTACGTATTTATTTACAAATTATTCATTTTTATAAAGCTACTCGACGAGTTGGAAGCCCCAGACTCGTCGAGTAGAAATGAGTTTTGGACGTGGGATTTCAGCCACCTACTCGACGAGTCAAGAGCCCTCGACTCGGCGAGTAGGTCTGTCAGAGTGAAACCCTAATTCTGGGGTTTTGCACCCTATTTAAGCATCTTAATCCCCACCTATTAGCCTCATTTCCAGCCTCCAAGTCCTAAACCCTAATCCACGAAACCCTAGAGTGTCTTGTGAGTTGTGAGCCATTCTTGAGTTGTAACATCCTGTTTGTTAAATAAATAAATAGATAAAATTGATGAACGAATAGTCGCCCTAAATCCATATTATTTAGTGGGGTGTTGGTTTGGGGGAGCCAAATGTTATAAATCGGATTATTTGGGGGTTAAAAGTAATTTTAGGATTTATTTTGAAAAGATTTTGGAGGCTAGGGGGCTATTTGGTAAGTATTAGACTTAATTTGTAAAGGAATTCAGGAGGCTGGGTTAAAAAGGTAAATTTCAGACTTTATTTGGAAAGAATAATGGAAGGAGGGGCCATTTATGTGATTATGGGATAGATCTTAAAGGATCTGGGTATATAAGCCTAATACCACATGTAAACCCTAACCCTACTTCACTATTCCCAGCCGCCACCATCTTCTTTCATGCCTTTGCATCCGCCATCTCCACGCCATAGCGTGAACCTTCGCTACTCCGGTCACCGACGAACTCGAGGACGCAAACCACGACAGACCATTGTCGCCGTCGAAGACAAAGGGTCGCCACCGTTGCTGCACCGCCGACGACGAAGACAAGTTCTTTTCCTTCTTCCTGCCGACGCGCCACAACCACTACTCTCTTCGCCGGAAAAGACGGAAGTTAGAACTGATAGTGTAGTCGTGGGAGGGACGGTTGAATCGGATGCTGTTGGGTTTCGATGTAGTCGTCGCCTCCATGCAGATGTCTCGCCACCAGTTGCTGCCAATCGTCACGACTGCCGTCGACTGCCAGCGCTGCTGCCATTTGCAAGCTCAGCCCACTGTCACCGCTGTGCGCCGCTAGGTGGGTAGTGTTGTTACTGTTCTGTGCGCGTGTGTGTGTATCTTTGGGTATGTTTCAGTGTAGGTAACGTGGGTATGTGTTCGTTTGGCCGGAATTCGGAGAAGGGTGTGGTGCATGCAATCAGCCGAGCTCAAGTAAGTTTCCCCATAATACCCACATTTGTTATCTGTTATGATTTGATTATGAATCTATGAATCGCATGCTAGTTAGGGCTATGAGAGATGCTTTTATATGTTGTATGAGCTGGTAGACTTGCATGCTAGTGCTGAGTAGTCAGCGATAGATTGGCCTGATATGTGGTGCTTGTAGCCTTGGGAATATTTGATGCCATGCTAGGATGAGAATGATTACTTGTATTAGTAACTGCTATGTGTATGCTTTTAAAATTGTATACGGTTAGGATCTTATAGGGTAGAGTCTATTATTCGACAGTCTATTAGATCCTGTTCTGTGTATAATTTGCATGCATAAGGCAGCTGACAGTGAGGATGGACGGAGGTGGATAGCGCGATTTGCGATATGTGGGTTGAATATTCTATGATAGTCCTTTGGATCGGAGTGCTACTGCATGAATGCTGCTTGCTTTGTGCTTTGTGGAACTCCTGAGTGATGGGAGTCAGGCACTAAGTGGATATGACGATATCCAGGAGGTGGATGGCTGACATCATGGGGAGTTCTTCAGCAGCTGATGGCAGGGTGAAGTTGGGAACCTAGGAGTTGCTTCGGTAGATATCGTATTGTTGTTTAGCGGATACTTGGTGCACCAGTGGAGTAGGTGACTTGGAGGATTCGAGAGGATTGTTGACCACAGAGTCCGCCATGGCGTGGTAGTCTCCGTTCCCGAGCCATCAAAGGGACGGGACTATAAACGAAAGTCGGGGAAAAAGAGGAAAGAGCGAACAACACAGGAAACCCCGCAGGAGCAACAAATGGGTACTATATACGCCGCCACAACTAGGGATGAGCATCGGAACCGGGTACCCGCTTTTGGAACCGGAACCGCCTCGGAACTGCTGGTTTTGGAACTGGAACCGCCTTAAGGGGTTCCGGTTCCGGTTCCTAAAGTTATGGAACCGCCTTAAGCGGTTCCGGTTCCGGTTCTCGTTTTTTCGGAACCGCTACCCGCTGGGTACCCGCCGGAACCGGTTTATATATATATATATATATATATATATATATATATATATATATATATATATATATATATTATTTTATATAAATATGTGTGTTACTTAGACCGGTTTAGAATATATTGGTCTGATTTTGTCCGTCTTTGGTCCGAATGGATTTAATTTGGATTGAACTAAATTGCGGTTTTATCGACAAAAGATAACAAATTAATGTAATCAGGTTACCCGCTCCCGGAACCGGAACCGCCGGTTCCGGGACTGGTTCCAAACATTTAAGAACTGCCTAGAGCGGTTCCGGTTCCGGTTCTAACTTTTTAGGAACCGCCGGTTCCGGTTCTTGCCAAATGAGGCGGGTACCCGCTTATGCTCATCCCTAGCCACAACACCTGTTACTCCAGCACCTGCCAGTCGATATGCTAGGACTCTCCCGAAGTGTGATGGCTGTAACTACCACCACACCGGAGTATGTCGGGAAATGCAATGTCTGAATTGCCACATGAAGGGGCACACCGCCCGGTTCTGCATGACACTAGCTCAACCGATCTCCCAAGTCCTCGGAGTAGAAGTAAACCAGGCCTGTTATGGCTGTGGTGAGACAGAGGGACTGCCCGATAACGAAGAACTCAGGAGCGGACGGACGAATTCTGATGATCACCGCAGAAGAATCTACCCCAGAATCACCAACGAGCAGCGGTACGTCTTCGAAATAAAGTAATTACTTTAAAATTTTAATTTGTATTTATATAAGATTAAAACTTGGGGAAAACATTTAAAAGTAATTATAATAACTCACTCATCTGAAATAAGGGTAGATTCACACAATTAACTATCCGTTCGATATTAGATTATATACAGCCAGTATAAACTAAGTGATTATAGAAGGAACTATTGTGGTTACCATTTTTACTAAAGGAAATAAGGATTTTTCTTAAAGAATGCTTTCATCAAATATAAAGGAACTATTATAGTTAACTCCGTGAGTACCAAATGAATACGCCAGGGTTATATAGAACGAAGATCTAACAAACAATGAGATGTGTGACTTCCGCCTCATTTCCTGTTCTTTGTTTGGTTGTGGGCTTAGGGCAGATTCACACAATCGATTGTCTGTTTACTCTGAGTTTTATGTAACTTGTATCCATTTAGTACTCATAGAAGCGATCAAGCCATGACCTTCCTTTTTGAAACCAGAAGTACATAAAAAAACATTTTAAACATAAACATAAGCACAAAGCTTAGTGAGTTCCCCAAAATACAACATACCATACAAATCAGTGGGCCTAGCCCTAGGGTGTATTTCAATCTTATGTGAATGCTATGATCCAACCATGTCTTATAATCACTTCCAGACTACAACCCAACCGTAGCCTTTCTTCGATGTTCCAACCACAGTCATTCATACAAGTGTTGTGATCTAACCACAATCTTTCATACAAATGTTGTGATCCACCACAGTCTTTCATACAAGTGTTGTGAACCAACCACAGTCTTTCATACAAGTGTTGTGATCCAACCATAGTCTTTCATGCAAGAGTCACAAAGACAATCTAGCAACCTACATAGTAGAGTGATAAGACTCACCTCACACTCATAGAATCGGAGAAGCACAACAACACTGTAACTCTTGCCCTAATCAATCCCCTCAAGCCGACTAAAACCAAGACAAATAAATCCTTAATCGACAACCCAGATCCTCACACTCAGGATCGCGGGAAGGCGCCGGCTTGATTATACACACCAGATAAAGAGTTTTGTTGTGAGGATCATGGGTTATTAATTAAACAATTATGGAGTTGCGTATTAAAGTCTTAATCGACCCTCTCTAGTATTAAAGTCTCAATCATAACATAGTATCATCATCTTGGCATGAACGTATGCCAAAACACAATTCATATGGTCCACATACTGATATCTCATATGCTTACATGCCAAAACACATTCTGGTACACAAACCATTTCATTTCTATTTCTATAACTGCAATTAATCCATTGATAGATTATATACTTAGAGTCTCATCACTTTTCATGATCTCTCATTTCTATACTTACTTTTCTACACTTAGGGTCTAATTTTTGATAAATATAATAATAGTAAATCTAATTTTTAATAAATATAATTAGAAAAATAATAAGAATAATAATAAAAATAATAGTAACAATAATTATTATATTTATATTAATAATAATAAAAAGTAGTTATTATTATATTTATATTAATAATAAAAAAATAGTTATTATTATATTTATATTAATTATATTATGAAAT